AGTCAGGCAGGAACTTTCAACAAAGAACTGGGTGGATAGGGCAGTTCTAAATATATCACACCATCCTCACCCATGTAAAGGAGTTAATTCACATGTGCAGCTTACCCACCAGGCCTAGCAGGGCAGAGAAAGGGGCTCTCAGCAATTTAATCAAGACTCTACTATCCCACAACGGCTCAGTTTACTCGCCATTGTTTCAGGCAAGTGCCAAAGGAATGGAGAAGTGCCAGGCTTTTAGAATGTGTGCCAAGAAAGAGCAAAAAAAGTTAAATAGGAGACCTCATCCCTCATATCCTTCAGCAATGAATGACCTACTTGGACTTCTCAGTGCCTCTCAAAGTTTTCACACCACTCACTGTCCTGCCATTTACCTGCAAGAGAAACAAAACTGCAACAGTCTGAATGGCACCAGACGGGGAAAAAATATCCACTAGGGCAGGCAGATTTCAGCAGCACAGTGGGAACCGTGCAGTCCACCACCCAAGCTCCWCATGAACAACAGAATTGAAGAGGCTTGCTCTCTGCAGAGCTCTCTGCCTGGAAATTCAGCTCCCAAGCACACAACAGGAGTGTAAATCTCACTGGTTGTTCTTTCAGTGCCAATGCTAGAAAGCCCTTTATACCTTTCAATGCAAACAGATGTTTCAAGGAAAATAAAAGAAACCCCTCAACACTTTTCAAATAATATTTAAAAATAATATTTTTAAAGCCTCTATCCCTGGCAAATGGGCTGACACTGGTTTATTGATTTAAAGATTTTCTTCAGAGATGAAACACATGTAAGCTTTATCATGTAAACAATATTTCTTGTGGAACTACAGTGAAAATAAGGTCTTCTGCATCAGGTATTTGGGCAACTCAACCACACAAACCTCTTACAAGAGCCACTCGTACTCCAGATTTTATAGGAGAGCAATTATATTAGTGACCAAACATCAAAGACCTTAAATTCTATGAATCCAAGATATTGAATGGATAATTAGTATTTCCAAAGGGCATTGATGGAATGCTCATGGAACAGATGCACAGTTGATGAAATAACACAGTGACAAGGTGCAGCTGCACAGCTCACAGGAACTAAAAACTAAGACATCAGTGATACCTCAATCCCCAGTGCATGAATGTGACACATAGCCTATCATAATCAAAAGTTGCAGAGTATTAAAATCGGATTTTCCTCCTGCAACCACATGCAGAGGCAGGGATTCATCAAGACAGACATCAAGGTCTTAAACTTTCACAGTTTATTTGAACACAAGTGACCCTGTGATGGTGAGCTCAGTAAAGGTGTAAGAACAGGAGCCAGGGCTGCAGGGTTCTGTGCCCACATCCACTGACTCACCTCCTGGGTGATACAAGCATTGCACAGGTCCTGGGGGTCACAGTCAGTTCACAAAAAGTTATTAACAATGTCCTTCCCACCTTTCATGGATTCTGACAAAGCCTTAGTCACTACTGCTGGCTAAAAGAGACAAACAGTACCTYAGACATAAGGTTTTGTGAAGAGGCGTATTAAGCACGTTGCAGGATGAACRATAAATCCAGTTTAAGCATCCTTGATTCCTATTTGAGGTAAAAAGAAGAAAAAAAAAATTTGTTAGTATGTCTATCATCTTTTGTCACCTGGCATTTGCTGGCACTCTCAGCTGTAACAAAGCCACKGTTGTATCTAAAGGGCAATGTTACAGCAGGAAAATCTAAGCTTCTTTCCAAGAGAAAAAAAAAAGTCCCTCTACACTTTTTATTGGTCTGCATTTCTCTAATTGCTCCTCCTCCACCCCGAAATTTCACGGGGGGGAGGGAGGGTGAGATTTAATAAAAAATAAAAACAGAAACAAAAAAACAAAGAAAAACCAAACAAAATCCAACCGAAACCCCAAACAAAATCAAACAAAAAACCCCCAAATTAAAACAGAAAAATTCAAAACACAGAAACCAAACCAAACAAATAAACAAAAACACAAACAAAAATAAACAAAAATTAACTTGCTCAATCAATCCCAAGTTTTCTCAAAAGTATCTTTAAAGAGTTTTGGTATGACTAAGACAGGAGTTAAAGCATTCACTCTGTGTATTTTACCATGGTTCGTGTACTACAATACTGCAACAATTGCCAAGTCTCATTTGCATCAACTATTCCAATTCCAAAATGTGAGCAAAAGTCACCAGAGTTAAGGAGTCGCTCAGCAGCCCATCAGATCTACACACACAGGCATGCAAAGTRAAAAAATACTCCCTGTAAAGGTATGAATCTTTACATGACACCAGACTGAGAGAGAACACTTTGGACCCCAAAAGAATCACAGCCTCAATGCATAAACAAATCAAACCACACATTCAGTTTCCTCCTGCTAATTGCAAACTGCATATTTTACTCTTTTTCCCGGATCTCTGTAAAGTTTCTTCTAGGAAGAACATCTAAAAGCTTTTTTTTTATGGAAATATTAAGCCTAAATGTGAAACACGTCTCATAATCGTAAGTTCCATGTAGAAAAACTGCTGTGCTGCTGAACAGTGGCAAACTCTCTCTAAAGTATGCCTTCAAGTGATGTATTTTGCATCCTACACGGAAGAGAACACGAGCTTTTTAAAAATCAAAAAACAAGCTTGAGGCAAAGAGCTAATGATGCTGCCACGAGAAGTGCTGCATCCCAGGACACATGCTGCAAGCATAAGGCATACATAAAGAACATTTAAGTAAAAGCTTTTTTTTTTAACTCAGAGTAATTATGGTGGAAGTCACAAGTGCTTATAAAAAGTAAACAGATACCGATTACTCACCGGTTCTTAAAAAAAAAAAAATTAAAAAAAAAACCCAGAAAACAACACGGGGGAAAAAGCAGAGAGACGTTCAGTACAAATAAAAAGCAGCATTGCTTCTCGGGGTTTGAGGTCAAGCAGGAACTMAGTGCAGGTTAGAAAACTGAAAGTTCAAGGCCCTCTAGAAGAGAACAATTAAGCTGATGAAGGGGAGCTCTGTGGCAGCTGCTAAATGAGACAATACCTGTGACTCCTGGCACCCCTCAGAGTGTTTTAGGTCACTACGTTGCATTACTCTTCCTGAGAGAGCACTTTGCCGGCTTTTTGAGAATAAATCCAACCTTCCTGTCCTTATGTATCCCTGACTCTCAGCCCTGACACAAGAACCCTTTCCAGAGGCTAACTCATCCTGTGCCAACCTTTTATGACACTCGCTGGGAGCAGAGGTCGCCTTAAATTTATCGCGGTGCCCCTGATAGGGATTAGCATCAGCCTGGCGCAACAACAGCCCGGCCCAACCTTCGCACAGCGCGGAAGGGGGAAGAGCACGACCTGCCCTGCCACGGGGCCATGCCCGCTCCCCGCACATCCCTGAGTGAAAAAGGGCGAGAAAGGCTCACTCCAAACCCTTCCCCAGCATCCCTGGGCCCCCCGACGAGCACATTCACCCCCGCACACACCGCCCGGTGAAGAWGCCGGGACGCGCATCCCACTGCCCAGAACCTCCGGACACGGAGGAGCCAGCAGGGCCCGCGGCTGGGGCTGAGGAGCCGCCGGTACTCCCGAGCTGCCCTGCCCTGCCCCGGAGCCGGCGGGACAGGTGCCGCAACAGGCTCTCCCGGGACGGGACCCGCACCGCCCGGGCCGGCAGAGGCCGCGGCCGCGCCCCGCTGTCAGCGCGGAGGATGTTCCGGCACCGCCGGGCGGGAACACACGCGGCCACGCGCGGGGCCC